GCAATAAACATAAATAAGGATTATTTAGAAGTCTGAATCATGCAAAGCTGCTCTAGTGGAATACAAACAAAATGTGCAGCTGGTTAGGTCTGGCTAAATAATTGCACACATTTTTATAATACTAGCGATGTAGGTTCACAGGTGATTTGTAATAGATAACAGCTACATTATTAGTACATAAAGTTACTGCATCTATTTACAAATCTAGCTACACTGTATTCCCAATAGAGTAAATTACCTTTTTTACCCAACAAAAACAGACTATGAGTGTTTACTAACCGAGTGCTGAAAACATGAAAAGGACTTCAATTCAAGCCACGAAAATTAAAGATTACAATGTGCAAATTTATGATTTTCAAATCCTAGTATTTCTCTTAAATTTATTTTCAGAAATTCTGACATTAAAGTTGAGTTCACCTGTCCTGGGTGAAAAAAAAACAAAACAAAAACAAAAAACACCTGTTGCTGCGTTCATCCGCAGCAGCAGGTGGCGATAGTGAGCGCTGTTGCTGCTGTTTTGGCGCAAAGCGGAAGCTGTCATAACTGTCCCCCTCATGAAAATGAAAAGTTCAGTGCTGTTATGTGGGTTTAGCAAAGGCACCTTATTATTTACTGTCTGAAAAAAAAAAAAAACCTCCCGTGGTTGATTTATGCGAAATATCTGACGTTAACTGAACGTGTCAGCGCTGGTTAGCGGTAGCTGCTTCAGCCATTAATGTGTTGAGGCTAGCCGGAGCAGCAGCAGACCTGGTTTAGCCTTCAATTTATGTTGTTTTTAAATGATCTGAGCAACTTTTGGACTAACCTCAGCTTTAAATGGACGAACACAAGGAGAACATTCACGGCCAGGAGGACAATGTGAAGACGTCCAGCGTGAAGGAGCAGGAGAAGGTGGGTGAGCTAGCAGAATCACTGCTCCGTGTAAACGCTGTTTGCGTTGAAGTAAACTGGCTGGTGCGTTCATTGACACCAAAGACAGGCTGGTGAGAGATATGTCCCGTTGGGTTCTTTGGTAAGGTGCCGACTTGATGAAAATGACTAGAAACCGCGTTACTTTTAGTTACTCTTGTATTGGAGTAATTAATACTAAAATATTTGAAGTAGACGGGAGCTACATCACAGTGTTTTGTTAATGTGAGCCCTGCAAATCGACCCCGATTCTCTTTTGCTCTGTGTACTTCATCTTGTCGTGTTGTATTTTAATTGACTGAGCTATTCTTTTTTTAAGCTAAAGAGATTGCTATTCTCGGGTTAGACCCCGTTTTCCTTCAGTGTTACTTCTTAAAGGCACATAATCAACAAGAAGTTTGCTCTAAGTTATCAGGATAGCATCGCACAGTGGGTGCTCATCCATGATGCGACTGTTGGATTGAGATCTGGTGACTGTGCAGGCCATGTGAGGTCAGAGAACTCACTGTCATGGTCAAGGAACTAGTTTCCTGTTAGAGGACAGCAGAGGCACCCAGTGTGGTCGTCTCCTGCTTCTAGGTTTGAGATGCTCTTCTGTACACTTGACCTTCCTACTCTTCTGCATGGTTGCATTAAGTTTGAAAAGTCTGCCTATTTTCCTTTTACCTCCTAGAGATGGTTTTGTGGGAAAATCCCAGTAGATAGGTCTGAGTATTTCAGAAACTGCTATCTACTTTCTTTTGCAGATAATCTTATCTGATGTGTTGTTGGACTTCACTCTAAAATGATCTGTTCCTCCAAACAAACCATTGATCCATGCTCTCTGTGTTTTTGATGGCCAAATTTGTAGAGTTACATCTTTTTCTGACACATAACGACCCACACGTCTCCTCCTCAGGAGAAGCCTAGCAGCAGGCTGTGTCCTGCGGGAGAATCTGCTCCTCAGGTGTCCCCGTCTCAGTCGAAGGGTGACTTCAGCCATCCGGTGTACAAAGAGATTGCTTTGGCCAACGGCCACATCAACCGCATGACGAAGGAGGAGCTTCGGATCAAGTTAGCGGAGTTAAAGCTCGACACACGGTGAGTTTTTAATAAATGTTTGAGGACCAAACACTCGTGCTTGTCCCTTAGAAGTGTTCTACCAAACAGTTTTTTTCTTGGTGTGTGCAGAGGAGTGAAGGATGTGATGAAGAAAAGATTGAAGAGCCACTATAAGAAACAGAAGCTGATGCAGACGGCGGCAGAGGGAGGCCCCACCGACACGTACTACGACTACATCTGTGTGGTGGACTTTGAAGCCACATGTGAAGAGGACAATCCTTCAGACTTCCTCCACGAAATCATTGAGTTCCCTATGGTTCTCATCAACACGCACACCTTGGAGATTGTTAGTAAAGATTGTGACTTAAATCAGGAGTTGTCTTTTGTTGTTGTTGTTTCTGTTGTTGTTAATAATGATGTTCCTCTAATATTCTGCACAGGTGGACACCTTTCAGGAGTACGTGAAGCCTGAGCTTAACCCACAGCTCTCAGACTTCTGTGTGAAGCTGACGGGAATAACGCAGGTCGGTTGAGTTCACGTCACTATCACATTACACGTGTGGGTCATTTACTCATTCTTCTGTGTTGTGTTGGTAGAAAATGGTCGAAGAAGCAGACCCGTTCCCAGTAGTCCTGCAGCGAGTTGTGTCGTGGCTTCAGAAAAGGGAACTCGGGACAAAATACAAATACGCCATCCTGACTGACGGGTGGGTTTCACGTCAAAGCTTCTGCAGGATGTTTACTTTCTTCTCCTCACTTGGTTTACAGCGCCGTTTCTTTAACATCGTCCACAGGTCGTGGGATATGAGCAAGTTCCTCAACATCCAGTGTCGGGTCAGCCGAATCAAATATCCTCCGTTTGCAAAGAAGTGGATAAACATAAGAAAGTCATACGGAAACTTCTACAAGGTACATTTTACAGCTTTGTACAGACACGCTTACATGTTTTAGATTTTTAAAACTAATTTTAATATTAGTCAAAGATGATTTCATTTATTTAGGGGAAAAAGTTATCCCAAGCTACCTGGCTCTGTGTGGAAGAAAGAAAAAAAAGTAACTGCACCCTTATTTCATTAATCACACCCAGCTCTGATTACTGCAAGACCTGTGGAATCAAGAAATCACAAATAGAACCTGTCTGGCAAAGTGAAGCAGGCTAAAATATCTCAAATAGCAACACATCAAAGCCCAAAGAAACAAAAAAAAAAAAGCAAAAGGGAACAAATACTTTTTCACAGTACTGTATTCTTACTGTTCCAGCTCATTTTAGTCATTAAACCCTCTGCATGCCTTCCTGTGTCCCGTCCATGAACCTCCTCACAGATTTGGCTATTTCTCACATGTCCTAATGTCTTCTATGATAAAAGGTCTCCACTGCTAACCAGCCTCTTCTTCTTCCTCCAGGTGCCGCGTACTCAGACGAAGCTGAGCACCATGCTGGAGAAACTCGGCCTGACGTACGAAGGTCGTCCTCACTCCGGGCTCGACGACTCACGCAACATAGCGAGGATAGCTGTCCGCATGCTGCAGGATGGCTGCCAGCTGCGCGTCAACGAGCGCATGCACGGCGGCCAGCTGCTCTCGGTTCCCAGCTCGGCGCCTGTGGAAGGAGCTCCGCCTCCACACAACCCCCGCAGCAGGGACTAGAACCATGACCACTGAAAATACTTATACTGGAGCTCAAAGTCTCCTTTTACACCAGATCTTTAAAAGTGGATCATTCCTTCATTTTCTGGGTGGAAAAGTCTGCCTCGCCACGCCTTACCGCGCTGCTGTTTCTCAACAGTATCACAGAAATATCTTTCAGTTGTCTTGTGGTGGAGAGAATTCAGTTTTTACCCTTGACAGCATAATAAAGCCTAATCTGCAGCTTCACGTGAACACACATATCTACAATTTAAACTACTGTGCTAATAAAACACATAAATCCTGCTGTGCTGTTTAAAGTGCTGCACGATGACACTGCTCACCGGTTTCCTCGCAGAGAGTCGAAGAGTCGGTCCTGTGGACTCGGACGGCTCCATAAATGGACCTCTTAAAGAAAAGCTGTAATTAAGGAGTTCAGCCTGTGTTGTACTGTCGTCACGTGTACAGATGTCTTGATTTAATGTTTGTTTCATAAATGAGGATTTGTTTCAACTGAAACGTCTGCAGATCTGATAAGTAATGCAAATTAAATGTCTCTTTTTGTTTGCAGTTTTTCATCTTCTTCACTCTGTGTGATGCATGCTTTAGATTCAGCAAATTTTGAAGGGACAAGAGAGGCAGTCGAGTCACTTTAGAAGCTCGGCACAGGTGCCTTACAGCAGGCAAGCGTTGACAGGCTAAACCTGCTCTCAGGGCATCAAGGGTGGTATTCTATGGCAAATATTAATCAGGCTCCACAGTGCTGGGCAGCAAGTGCAGGGCCCACTAGAGGGCGTCACACCTTTATGGCACCAGCATGAAGCCTGTTTCCGACTCGCTGATCAGACTTTCACACCACTGTCCTGCTGGAGGTCATTTTGTAGCTCTGGCTCTGCTCATCCTGTTCCTCTTTGCACAAAGGAGCAGATAGCGGGCTTGCTGATAGGTTCGGGGCTTTCTGCGGCCTCTTGGAAGGCTGTAGAGTAACTCTAGAGTGCCTGCATATCTCCTGGAATTTCCTTCCTGCTCTTAAGACTGTGCTGCGAGATACAGCAAACCTTCTGACATCTGAACATATATATGGACTACCTGTGTGACCTCTGTAGGGTCCTGGTATCACCTCATGCTTCCAGTAGTGACACTTTGGAAACCTGGGTGTAAACTAAACACAGTGTTGTTTTAATCTAACACTTATGTGTATGTTTGCAGACCCAACTGTCTGTACTATGATCATCAAAAGAAGTGCAGACACAGCTTTCCCTCAAGGTTTCTTTGTGATTCAGCTGCTTCTATCATCAAGTCTTCCAGGCTTTGTGGCTGTGCAGCCCATTTCTCTGGTCTTTATTTATTTATAATAGGAAAAAATGTGTTTTTTTGTTTTTTTTTACCAGAACACAAAAGATTAAACAAGACCAGCTGACATGTGTTTTTCTTGTAGTCGGGTTTATTATTGGCTGGTTGTTAAGGCACCATGTCCAAGTGATATCTTTGGATTATTAAGTACATGTGAAATGTTAATCCTTTCAATATAGATATTTAGTTACAATTAAACACAGATTGTAGTAACGTATGCAGGTATATTGGCTTCGAGGTCATGATGGCTTCTTTCCTTCTGGACTCCTTACTTTAATACTCTAACGGTCTTTGGCAGCTTTAAAGCTTTTTTTCTGTCGTTGAAACATTTTTTGGCAACGTCAAATATATTAGTGTTTTTATTTAACAGCCGTAAAAGGCATGTAGGAGCAGTACGTCAGACACTTTGGCACTGTCAATAAAGTTAAAGGCGGTGATGGTTTCATCACAAACAGGTGCTGTACAGCGCTACTTTGCGGCTCATCTCCTCCAGCATGTTGCGGGCGGCTTGCTCCAGCTCGGCCAGCTCTTTAGCTTTGGCCTCCAGGATGCGCTGGTTGTCCACGTAGGAGACCTCTAACTCTGAAAATGCCACACAAAAACAAAACTGTCTTTTTTAACGGTTTAAATTTCTTGCACAAGTGGAATATTTTTTTCTTAATTTTTATATATCTGATCATACTTCAGAAACTGACTCGAGATCAGCCGGCTGGTTCGTAGCAGATTATTTCATGTGCTTCTGTGTATTTTTTTTTTAACAGGAGAGGATCCAATAATGTAAAAAGAAACAGATCTAAACAAACAGGAAGAGAGCAAACTCCCTTCTTGTTTGTTAGAAATGCATTCATTTAAAAGAACAGAAGACAAAACTACAGAGTTATTATACATTTATCTGAACAGTGTTCACCTTTGAGTCTCTCCAGCTTTCTGCTGCTCTGATTGAGCAGCTCTATGGCCTCCTGCTGCAGTTCGTCTGCCCTCCTCTTCGCCTGCTGCACCGACTCCCCTTTAACCTCCACCTGGTTCTCCACCTCAGCGAATTTATCCTTCAGCCTCTCATTGAACTCCTGCACACACAAAAAAAAAACCGCACTGCAGCAGGAGTGGATTCACATGCAAACCAACACGGATGCGCGCGTTTGTGAGACCTGCTCTGCTTCGTCGGCGTCCTGTTTGGCCTGCTGCGTCGTCTGCTCAGTCGACACCATTATCTCCTCCATCTCCAGGTTGTTCTGCCTCAGCAGGCCGACCTCCCTCTCCAGCTGCAGCAGGCGGCCCGTGGTGTTACTGAGCTTCAGCTCCGACTTGGCCGTCTCCGACTCCACCTGACGCACAAATGCACAGATTTATCTTGTCTTTTCTTTTTCACTTCTTCTTTTTAACTGTTCAGGGTTTGCCTCATACTCTTTCTGCTAATCCCACCATCATTAATTTCACCTGCATCTCATCCCTATTAAGCCAGAGTTTCTCCTGTGTGTTCACATGAAAGGAGCGGCGCTGGAAGCTTCTGACCAACCACAGCTAAAAAAACAGGCTAAAGTTTAGCCTGTTCAATGCCAGGAAGGAAACCCAACTATAGCATAAGATATAAGGTCACAGAACTCATATAGAATAAGAAGTTATCTTTAAACCTCTATATTTATTACTGATGATCATCGGGGAAATCTAAAGACTTCAGATGCTATTAAAAATCTTTGGACCCTCCTGTGATCCACAGGTCTGAGGGATGGCTATTTTCCGGAGATTTGATCGGTAAGTAGCTGGTGACTTGTTGATCCAAACTGGGTTATTTTAGTTGTAAATATTTTTTCTGAATCCAGTTCAGTTTCAGGAAGTTTTTGGAGCTCGTTCAATCTTTCAAGTTTAGTTTAATTTTAGTTAAACTTGAATACCTTTTGTATCTTTATAATTTATTTTGTGGGTGGCGTTGTCAGGCATTAGTAAGTCAGTTTCCTTTACGTACATTCAGCTTTTGCTTGCTATATTATTTTTATTTTTTCAAAGTTTCTAATTTAATTTGTTATTTTTTTATGTTTATTTTTAATAGCTTAGACTAAAAATGCTTTTTAAAATAAAAATATTACGTCCGAACACCCGACAGCAATAAAACATTTTTATATCACTGTGAATAAACTAAATGAAAGCTGAGCGTTTCCTGACTGCAATATTGTTTTTAAAGTCAGTTGTTACTGAAAACAAGGCAGACCGTTCTAAAACGGCAACAACGTACGACTCCATCTCTTGAACTTTGTGCTGTTTTTGTCATCCCGAAACAGTAAACGGAGTCACTGAATCAAACCGCATCATCACTGAGGTCAGCCGTACAGCGTTCAGCAGGTCCATGGTGCCCTTGGTGTTGTTCTGGGCCAACTCAATGGCGTCCATGGCGATGCTCTGAGCGCGGTCGGTCTCGTCCAGGGCAGCCTTAACTACTTCTGCGGTGTCCTTCATGTTAGACGCTTTCTCGCTGACAGACAGGGAGAAAGAAAGATGGGTTTATTTACACATTTCTGTCAGAGGCAGCCAATCAGAAGAATGTCTGTTCAAAGGGGGAGGAGCTAAAACAGCTTGTTTTTCACATTTTAAATTTGCAGTTGGCTGCTCGCTACCCGCTTCACTGACTGACCCCCTAAGTTTGAGCTCAAACTGGTAACAAGGATTTAGATTTTGACCAATCACCTGCCTCTGATGTCCTGCATTTGGCTCGTAGTCCAAGAAAATGTTTACAACAATTACAGAAGAAAGCAAAAATATTGCCACCTGTAAGACTGCAAAAAAGATTTTTTCATGTTGAATTTTTTTATCCCGTTCCTCCTGTTTTCCATCCTGTCAGTCGTCACGTGTTACCTTGCAGCCTTAGCCTCCTTCAGCAGCGACTCGGCCGCCATGACGTCCTCCGCGCTCTGACTGAGGATCGTCTCCACGCTGGTCAGAGTGGTGACCTTCTCCCTGATCTCGTCCGTCAGCTCCTGAAGCTTCTCGGCCGACGTCGGCATCTCCAGAGCCAAAACCTCGTTTGCCAAGGCCTCGATAACGGACGCGTCTGCTTTCTCATCTGGATAAACGCAGACCAAACATAAATGAACCGTTTTATTTTAAGAAACGTGCATACATTTTTACACATTGTGAAGACTAGACGTGTACAGGAGAAACTCACTCATGAGAAGATCTCGAATCTCCCTGATGAGGTTGCGGAGCTGCTCGTTGCTCTGCTCCACTCTCTCTTTGCTCTGGTTGGATTTGATCAGCACCTCCAGAGCGTTCGCTTTGGCTTCGTTTGCTCGGATGTTCGCTTCCCACACCTGAGCAGAGTGTCCACACAGGTCCAGGTTACCTGTCTCACATCCACCTGCAGGTGTTCCACATTATAACACGACGACCATGTTCACTTACCATCCTGGAGAGCTTGTCTACCTCCTGCATAGCTTCTAGGATCGCCTGTTCCAGGTCATTGGCTGAATTGAGAGACGTCTGAGCGGTTGTGACAGCGCCTCCACACTCTTCTCCTCCACAGCGAGGCGCTCCATCCTCGTTGGTGCAGCCCAACCCGCCACAGGTGGAGCAGCCATCATCGCCTTCAGAGGCTCCACCACAAATCTACAGAGAAAGACAGAATTACCAACAAAGGTGAACGTGTGATAGACAGATGCGATCTTCCCGTGTTCTCACCTTTTCACTTAGTGAAGACAGGCTAAACTTATCGAGCTCTTTGGACAGCTTGTCCAGCTTCTGCATGTTTCTCTGTTGTTTTCGGTCAAATTCCTTCTTCGTGCTGCTCATTTTGTCCTCCGTAGCTTTCCGTACTGCAACTGACTGCTTGACTGTGTTGCCAGGGTCGCTCGTAGAAGCATTGGTGCGCTGCTCTGCCATCCTAGACTGCATGTGCGCAGCAGTAATAGTCTCCAGGGCACCTGGAAGCAGTAAAGTTAGGGAACAGTGAAACAGGGCTGGACGGAAATGTAGTACTGATGTACCGATTAAAACGTGCCGACTTTCTGTCTTGGCTTAGCTGTAAAGGTCTAAGAGTGAAGCTTTAGGCTGAAGCACTTGATTTCTCACCGTGTATGTTGGCGTTCTTGGCGTCGTCCACCTGCTGTCTCAGCCTCTGGACGCTCATCTCCAACTGGTTTGCCTCAACAGTCAGCACGTCTAAGTCTGCATCGGTGGCATTTGCATCACTCTGAAGAAGTTCCAAGGCTTCCTCGGTTGTGTTGAGCTTTCCATTGAGATAGGACATCACACCACTAAGAGCACAGTGAAACAATAAACACCAGTTGCTTGCTACAACCCTGAGTAAGCCTCTGTTTGGTGGTGTGCATACGTTATCTGATGCATCAGCTCCTGTATCTGCTCCAGCTTCACCGTGGCGGGGTTGCTCTCCAAGATGTCTCTGACAGCCTTGGAGTTTCTCTCGAGACTTCTAATCAACTCTTTGTACGGCGCCGTCACTCCGACAGTCTGCAGCTCGTTCACTTTGGCCTCCAGTCGGCGAGTTTGGTTGGTCAGCTCCTCGACCACGGTGTCCCAAGCCGCAAAGCACTTGTGGCAGGGTTTGCAGTCAGGGAACTCACCGTGGTAACCCCTAGCACACTCGTTGCACCGGGGGCCCGCCACGCCCTCCACACAGGTACACTGCCCTGTGGCACGATGACACTGCTCACTGGAGATCCCCCGGTGGTCGCAGTCACAAGCTAGAAACACACACAGGAAGGTGGAGACGCCAACTAAAAAAACGACTCCCAAGGGTGAAACAACCCAAATGTTTAATTAATAACAGTTTTTTGTTGTCTGTGTTTGTATATCAAGTTTTATATTCTGTATTTGTTGTAGTTTTAATGCAGTACTGAAGCAGATTTAATGCGATAGGGACTTAAATAAAGGTAAAAACATAGCAGTGTTTCTTTCTGCACTGTTCCTGCTGGTGTTAAAGGGCGAGAGGCAGGGCAGACTCAAATCATGTCACCAATCTGTTGCAGTTAACCAATGGCAGTTAACCTTACATAGAGAAACCGATGCAGACACGAGGAGGACGCAACCTTCCCAGGACCTTCTTGCTGAGTGTTTAGAACTAACCTTCAACTTTAAGTTTTATAATGTCAGAACAATAAAAACAGTAAAAACATGTAAGTTACGCGCAGCCCTCATAATCCAAAAAAAACATCTTCAAGTTTTTGTCTCCCTGGGAAGTAAGTCACTTAAAGTTTATTTAACCTCAAATGGTTTCAGTAAATAAACTTGGACATGAATATGACCTCGAAGGTCAGGTTTCGGTCGCTCCATGGGGGGAAAAAAAGGAATATCACGTGTCAGAAAGAAGGAAAAAACAGCCTGACAGATATTCCCCATCAGTGTTCCTGTACTTAGAACATAGAGAACATATCAAATGTCTAAACTGAGACATTTGATTATTTCATGAAACATTTGATGGCAGTATGTCTCAGAGAAAAAGGGAGCAAAAAAATGCTTGAGGAGCATTTTTGCAACCAATTCACTTTAAAAAGAACTAGTGCTGTCAGCGTTAATCTCCTTAATCTTGCCGTGCAGCCCCACGCACGAGGCGATCCACGCTAACTCGCTAACGGACATTTGCCGCGTTAATGCGGTTATGTCGCTACCATAATTTTAATGAGATTAACGCTGACAAAAAAGAACATCTTAGAGACAGACAGAGGTTCACCAATCTGCAAAAAAACTGTCTACAAATTGTCCGACAATTTTACAATAACATTCCTCAAGGTAAAATCATGACGACTTTGAATATCTTGTCATCTACAGTTTATGTCATAACGACATCAGAAGATTCAGAAAATCTGGAGAAATCTCTGTGCGCAAGAGAAAAGACCAAAAATCACTGGATTGTGGTGTTCAGGCCCTCAGGCAGCACTGCATTAAAAAACAGACATGATTCTGTCATTACTGAGATCACTGCATGAGCACAGTTCTCTGTGCCATCTATAAATCCAGCCTCTGTGATGCAAAGAAGAAGCCACATGTGCGCATGATCCAGAAACACCGCTGTCTTCTCTGAGTAAAACTGGAAAGCTGAGGTCAGACGAACTAAAATTTTAAATTCTTTCTTGGAAAACATGGACCCCGCATCCTCTAGACTAAAGAGGAGAGGGATCATACAGCTTGATATCAATGCTCAGTTTGAAGTCTGGAATTTGTAATCAAGAAAAAAAAACTGAGAAGAAGACTGAGGACTGCTGAGCAGCTGGAATCCTCCCTCAGATGAGAACTGCTGGTTTGCTCAGTTCCCAGACGTTTGTGGACTGTTGTAAAAAGAAGAGGGGATGCTTTGAAATTGTACATTTTTTCAGTTTAAACATGTGGTATGTTTTTCAATATTCTACTGTGTATAAATGAGATTTTCTGGTTTTTATTTTTATTTTATGCAGTGAGCGTCCAAACCTTTTGGGGTTATATTTGTGTGATTTATGCAACAGAAGGTGAGGCTCTGGTTTAATGAGGTTGAATTGTTACATCTTTCTGCAGAAACACAGTCATGGATGAATGTAAATGGTGATTATTGGTTACTAATTGAGAAAAGCTACACTACTATTATATTAAAAAGACATTTTAACCGCTGACACTTGTAAATCTGAGGCATTTTTTTTTATCTGCATACAGCATATACATATAACACTCCTCACTGAGGAGGCCACAGTGTTGCTGTATATTGGTGCATTATTTCATCATCTGTGCAGAAAGGAGGTGAAGTCCAGCTGCTTTCAAGGCTTAAAAGACCATCAGAGAATTCAATGGGAATATTTCATATTCCTGTTTCCTCTGTGTGTTTGTCCGTGGCGAAAATGGGAAGCCTGGGAATTCTGGAGAACATCTGTTTCTCATGAGAAGAGGTCATTCCCAGATCCAGCTGCCCCTGCTGCTCTCTCTTTCTCTGAGGGTGAGCCAGCTACTGTGGGACACTTTACTGCAGATGGACTCTTCAGCAGTTTGTTTCGCAGACAATAAAAATTTTCAGGATCCAAAAACAAAGCTGAGCGCCAACCCGGCTGACTGAGTGCTACCGACACGTAACTGCTGTCGGAGTAAGCCGAATCATCTGGAAACCATTTCAAAGCTATCGCTGCTGGTCTCCCACTGAGTCACAAGAATAACATCCTGTGAGAACATGAATACTAAGATCCAACCACAAGGACACATCAGGAAGTATTAGAATAGTGATGGTTTAGCTCCAACGTGCTGAAATAGAAGTGAGGGTATTGTTGGTGCTCAGCGTAAGACTGAATGTCTGCAGTGTGAAGACAATACTGATAAAAATAAAAACAAGGCCACAGTGGCATGTCCTTCTTAACTCCTTCCCTATTCAGGGTCTCAGAGGGGCCGGAGCCTCATTAAGTTTCCCTTTCTGTGGAAGGCAAAAAAGCTGCTAGAAGGTTATATAAGCTTGTGAGATGTTTAGAGCTACAAAAACTTCACAAAAGGCAAAGGAAAAATAAGCACCGTACCATCAGACCGTACGTACCACCTGGGGGCGGCAAAAACAAGCTGATATGATGAATTTCGGAGTAGTTTCTAGACTAGACGCTCCTTCAGGGCGCTGCTAACCTCCTTGAAGTTGGAGCCCTTTGATCTGTCCATGTCCCAGGCTATTTTACCCAACCAACACAGCCCCATATCTACAATCCTGTCTCCAAATTACCCCCACTTCCAAGAATTCTTGAGAAAGTGGTTATAAAGCAGCTCGTAGAGGTAATGAAAGACAACAACCTCTCTGGCAGTACAGAAACCGCTTTACTTTGGCTTCAATTTCAGGTAATCTTACTGTTCTTATTTTAACTGGTGAAGTCAGAGAGGAAAGACTGACATGGTTCGGACATGTGCAGAGGAGGGATAGTGGACATATTGGTGCTGCCAGGGAGGAGGAAATGAGCCTCAGAGGAGATTCATGAATGTGGTGAAGGTTGGTGTGACAGAAGGAGATGGTAGAAACAGGGTGAGATGGAGGAAGGTGATCCACCATGGTGACCTCTAAAGTAAGGAGGAGCAGAAACAGGAGGATAAAGCTTTTACTAGGCCTGACTACAGCATTTGATAGTTGACCGTAGCATTTCCCTCAAGAGACTTAGGAATGAGGCTGACCAAAGTAGAAAGGCACTCAAATGGGTCTCATCCTACTTCTACTTCACCTATAGAGTATTCAGAGTCACTGCGGTCAACTTTATTTCATCAGCTGACCTAATAAGATGTGGAGTCCCACAGGGCTCGGTTCTTGGACCTACTTGTTTCGTTTCTATCTGTTGTTAGTTGATATTATGCCTGTTAAATGTCTCGTTCAGGAAAAGCACATAAAAACAGAGCCTCTCCATTCTTCCCACGTTGCCATTAAAAACAAGAGGACTTCCAATTTCTTACAACTGATAAAATGTGTCTTTATTGTTCCTGATCATATTTCTAATAGTGCCGCTGTCCATCTTAAAGAACTAAAAACCGACCACCAGCAAGCTACTCAACACCTGAGCATTACTTTGAACATGTCAGTGTCTACCAGCAGTCAAAAGACTTTTACACTAAATTTTAGTTAATACAGTCAAGTTTTTCTTTTAAAAAACGAGACATATTTTCTACATTTTCCCTGTAATTTACTGAAATATCCTTTTACATTTTACAATGGGCTCTTTACGTTTGTATAAAATTCTGAGTAAAGAAATATGTTGGTGGGTCAGACTCACTAAGTAACCGGGATTATTTTAGTAGTAATTAATTTCTCCTGTGCTCAGTTTGTCTCACCTGTTACCCTGTTGGTATTCTTGCTATATGCATCCACCCCCCTGTTTCCCACAGCCAGCTGCCAGATAGTCTTGTTCTCACTGACATGAAACTTTCCAGGCATATCCCAGAGTTCCTGATGGTTTCTTGTTTGCATTTTTCTGTCATGTTTAAAGTAGTTCACCGAGTTCTTTCTTGTATACTCCCTGGCAGACTGGCTGGCCTTCAAATGTTTGACACTCTGGTCCTGCATTTGGGTGGTGGTGATACCTTACCATAACATTTGACCTCTGGATTCCCCCAGAAGAGCTCTTTGCACTCCCGGCACATCCGGCCACCAAAACCGGGCTTGCACATGCATTGTCCTGTAACCTGCAGGCAGCGCAAAAAACACAGCGATCAGTTCAGAGCGTTCAATAAACTTCAAAGCTCTTCTCTCCGATGCAGACACAATAAAGCTTTGTAGTTTGGCAGAATTTGTTCCTGCCAGGAAAGAAAATTCCTGTGTCATTCCACAGTGTATTCTGAGACTTCCTTCCTCCGATGGAATGAAGCCAGTAAACACAGAAAGCTGAATGTTTCGTGTGAGTGAGTGTCATCAGTTCTTTACATGTGAGAGGAGAGAAGCAGGTCCTAAACAGCTGGAGTCCATATATCAAAAACTACTTGAAGTTGTTGGGATGGTCACACCCTACGGTGTGGGGGTTTGGGAAAACCAATCCCCAACACTATGTAAGAGAAAGTTTGGAAACAGCAGCTCATAGATGGACAGGATTTTGTGGTTCATTTCAGATCGTGTTCAGAGAGAGTTAACTGGAGTAGCTGCTGAGACGATGGTGCGGGGGTTTCATTACTTAATTAACTGGAGTTTAGATTTTTTGTTCTCCTGAAATGTCAATACTGTCCTTGGATACATATCCACATGTTTCCGTCCACACTGTTTGCTCCGGTTCTTTTCCCAACTGTTACTATAAATACCCATTCCTATATCTTTATACATACATCCAGCCTGGCAGATAGAGGAAAAATCTGAGCAGGGAAACCATTCATCTGGCATTGACCTGCTTGGTATGGATAATCCTACCAGAAATAAACATTTCTAGTGGTATTTGTGCTCCAGGTGGCTCACACCAAGCAACTGAGCACAAGTTTTAGATTTCATCACCTAAAATGTCTCTAAAAGTTAAAAGGCTTACCCAAAAGTTACTGCATGATAGTGTTAAAGGACAAAATATGGTTATAAACACAGTCTGCCTCACCTCATTGCAGGAGGATGTGAACGAGTGGACAGGATCGCAGTCGCAGCGCTGGCAGCCCGTCCCGCTGGTGAGGTTCCACGTATCTGGAGCGCAGCGGTCGCAGTGCTGACCGACCACGTTGGGCTGGCAGGGACACTGGCCACTGCGCTGGTCGCACTGACAGTCATCGGGGGACGAACAGGCATAAGGAATCGTCCCTACTGAATAACACGTGCACTCTGCGGAGTGAAGAAAGAAAGAAACAAGAAAGATGCACCGCAGAATTATGGGAAATTTACTGGCTAGATGGATATTTGAGATCTGTCTATGTTTGTTAACAT